AAAAAAAAAAAAAAAATTAACTTGCCCATAGTTAGCAAGTCTGAGCTGAGACTGATATATGACATAATTTGAAGTCACTGTGCTTAGCAACTAAACCAGAATCTTTGGGAACATGGCTTGTTGCCTTGACCATTCTTTTCCCTATTTCTTTAGCACAGAGACTGGGTCAAATACACAGAATCCCACTGAGAGCTTTTAATAAATACACATGTCTGGACGCTAGAGCAGCTGGGCAAATGCCATGCTGTCAGTTCAGCATTAGTTTGCTTTTAAGAACATGTAACTGTTTTACTATAGTTCATATGCAGACACCTCAAGGACTATTAATCAGTTTGCCCACCATCTTGGTACCTACATTAGTCATTCTAAGCTCATTTACTAACCTTATATCTAGTTTAATGCCAAAACTGCTTTCTCTACAGCCACCCAATCACCCCATGTAACGCTACCCAACCTACAGTCACCCTGCCACCAAGTGGTTCCAGCAGTTTCCTCTTTACTATATTCTTTTAATCCTCCTAGAAGCTTCTCAAATGGTTTCTTCTTGTCTTTCAGGTCCCTTCTAGTTTATTTTTATCTGGTCAGTTAGTAGATTTCTTTCTTGGCTCTAAAACCTGCATTGAATGGGCTCACTTCCAGTTTCCTGAACCAGCACAGGTATATTGTATCTTAGTTGCCAGTGCCTCCCTCAGGAAGACTGTCTTACAGCAAACATTTAAAAAATCTCCTGGAAGTAGCCAGCTCTCATCTTTAAACGATAGTGGAGTATCATAAGGTCTCTGGGTAGCACAAGCAGTTTGCACTTGACTTACAACCTAAAGATTGGTAGTTTGAACCCAGTCAGTGACACTGCAGGAGGAAAGCCTGGTGCTGTGCTTCTGTAAAGACTACAGCCAAGAAAACCCTCAGGGAAGGAGATCCTGGATAGGGTAGGAGAACAATGTGTAACAAAACTCAAAATCATTAAAAAACCCCACCAGGTTTACTAGTCTGACAGAGCCTGGTGAGACTCCCGAGACTATGGTCCCAAGTTATCCTTCAGGTCTGGAACTGAACGCACCCCCATGGCATCCAGCCAAACAATAGTCAGGCATATAGGGTGAAAATTTACATCAGGAAGCTATGCTCCTTAGAATGATCCACCATGGGAGAACAGAAGAGCAGTATTTGCACAAGGAGATAGCTCAGGAGGCAAGAATGCAAAGGAAAGGACACAGGGAGGGGGTAACTACAGGAAGGAAGTAGGAAGAGAGATGCTACATTGTGGGGAATTGTAGTTGATGTCATGAAACAAAACTACTATATGGAAAATGAACTTACTCTGTAAACTTTCACCCAAATCACAATAGAAATTAAAAAACCAAAAACGGCAGCCATGAAAACCCAATGGAGCAGTCCTACTCTGTAATACATGGGGTCACCAAGTCATAATTGACTCCACAGCAAAGGGTCTGATTGTTGTAGTTTGGTACATAAAAAGTAGGCCCGAGAACTAAAGAGGGTAAAAGTATGAAAAAGCTAAAAAACGTATCTTAAACAAATTTAAACATTTCTCTCATGAGTAAACTACTTTTTATTTCCTGATGAACTGCTACAGAATATAGCAGCCAGTAGTCTGAGGCAGATACTGCCCAGAGCTCTGGTTATTCCAAGAGCAACCAACCTTACCTCACACACAGGAGACGTCTGCAGCTGTATCTGACCACTGTAGAACAAGGAAACAAAAAAGACAAAAAGTGAAACTTAAAGCAAATGCTTCAGTGTAAGAGAAAATATATTTTTGTTAGGAAAATGTAAACATACTTCAATGCACTATCTTGTAATTCTAAGGCTTCCGCTGATTCCATGGAATAAAGGTTTACAACACTTCTCTCTGTAACATCAGTACTCAACCTAAAGGGTATGAAAAAAAATAACAGATGTGAGCAAACTCAATAAGCTTTTGTTTTTAATGAATTCTATTGCTTTGGGTCATATTTAGTTTAAAATGTTAGCACAGTAAGAAAGTGACATGTGTATCTTTATGGTTAAGTGATAGAAAGTTGATGATAAAATTTTCAGACGTCATGGTATTTCCCTACCACATGTCAAAGTATAATCTTCCATCTGCTGTTGGCGCCTAGATCCAACTTAATTACTATATAACAGGAATTTCTGATAAAGTCGTAATCTTCATAGGTATCACATACTAAATTTTACTGTAAAACTTTATCAATTAATAGAAGCAAGTAAAGTTGTTAAGAGTAACACAGGGTATGTGACTCAAGGGTATTTAATTTTAATAATAAGATCTCTTTGATATATACTAATATTCTTAAAAATAAGAATTCACAAACAATTTGATATGTATGTTTATTTTTGAAATTGGCTCATCTATCATTTCCAAATTTCTGCAATTTTAAGAGGTGGGATTTTTTTTTTTTTAAACCCTAGAAACACAGAGATTTTTATATGCCATAAAGAAGTTATAAAGGCATTTTAAAGGGCAGGGATGAGTTCTTATTATACATTCATGTTGAAAATGCTATCAAACTAACAATCAGAAATCCTTGAGAGAAGAAAATAAGATAAAGGCAAAACAGAAGAGTAATAAACAGAAAAAACAGTTCTGATATGAAGGTTGTATAATATGTAAAGTTCTAAAATTTAATCCAGTAATTGGTGGCTTAATCACAGGTAAAAAACAAAAACAAAACCAAAAAAGCCCTAGGTCTATGAAATATGAGATATAGGAAAACTCAATGTGTATGTAAACTTTTTTACTACTTTTATTCAGTTACTTTTTTATCCAGGCACAAGCAGCCAGAAATAAATGAAGTGCCCTCTCTTCATAAGAACTAAAAACATGCCTTTTACCTTTTCACTATTGTACTAGCTCATAGAAACATTATTACAAAAGTAGAATTGTCATTTTGTAATAATTATTTCAGTATAAACAAGAAAGATCTAAGGCAAGCAAAGCAACAGATTATTTTAGGAAAGAAATGAAATCCATATAAAGTTTTACAATAATGTAAATTTAAAATAGCACCCCATAAAGGTGCAAATCTAAAGTCACTTGAAAGGTGATTTGGGGATGTTTTATTCCACAGTGTGGAACACATCCACTATTCCAATCCGCTCAACAATCTTAGCAATTCATTGGCTCAGATATTTCAAAGCTAGAAAGGAATTTGCCCCTCAGTTCAATCCATTTCTCATAAAAGATGATGAAACTGAAGCCCAGAGCAAGGTGTTACTTCTTCATCACTCACATCTTACTCCTGGTTCCAGGCCTGGGCGTCTATGCCCATGCTACTTACACCTGGAGTCCCTGGTGGTGCCAGTGGTTAACGCTCCTGGATGTTAGCTAAAAGGCTGGAGATTTGAGTCCATTCACAGGTGCCTTGGAAGAAAGGCCTGGTGATCTACGTTTGAAAAATCAGCCACTGGAAACCTTAAGGAACACAATTCTTCTCTGACACACAAGGGGTCACCATGAGTTGGAGTCAGCTCCATGGCAAACGGTTACTTCCATTTCAAGCACTTAAATTAAGTAACTGCTCAAGACAATCTCTATCTACAACAGTCCACATCCTCAGAAAGCCAGGACTGCACCTCGTTCATCTTTATACCCCTCAAGGTGCACAGTGACAATCTTCTCACTCTCTAAGCACTCAATCAAAATGTTTTTCAAATCAATCACCGGAAGATTTTCAGTCGTTTGTACTCAGAACCTGAGTCTGTAACTATACGTGGCTGATGTACTCCCACTGGACTCTGATTCACTAATCATTAACCATTTTCTCATACTCCAAAAACCCAAATGGGATTGCTGTGGTATCATTTCCACGTCCACCATACATAAGACCACACCATCTTCGTAATTAAATCTGCAAGACTCTTGAAAAGTTTATCAGAGATAAACTTTGGATCTATTTCTCTAATGATAAGGTGGTTATGAGAGACCATGGTTGGTGGATATGATGCACATGTGTGGCTGCTAAATGAAAGGCTGAAGGTTTGAGCCCAACCGAGGTGCCTTGGAAGGAAGGCCTGGTGATTTATTTACAAAACATCAGCCACTGAAACCCTGTAACACAGCACAGTTCTACTCTGACACATGTGGGGCTGCCATGAGTCAGGGCTGACTTGACAGTGACTCGTAAACTGGCAAGTCAGTTATTACATGATACAGGATACAGTGTCTTGCTTAAAAACGTTTTGTCCGTGGGGATTCCATTTTCCCTAGTTAAGATACGAAAAATATTTCCACTGCATATAGTGTCTCTTATTTGGTGAAGACTAATTCAAATAAAAGATTATCTTATAAACCAAATTTTTAGAAATGTACTACTTAGTTTACATGTATTTGGCACAAACAGATATAAAGACAGCAGCAGTTGATATGCCTCAGACCCAAGGAAGGATCGCTATGAGTCGAGTAGTTGATAGACCAATTCTTCTGTCCCTTGCATTTTTTATAAATCATAGGACGTTAACTGATGCTGACCAACATAAAACCTGCACTTTTACCATATATCTGTTTTCTATAATTATGCCCCAAAGTCCCAAATGAGTATTTTTGGGGAATAGAGGTAGAGGGGATGAATCTCAGTACCTCCGGAAGTTCAGTTCTTAGGAAAACAGGCAGTTAAAATGAGGATTCTGTATTTTCAAAAAAACTGAGACTGAGTTATACTGAGCCCATACTGTATGCATAAGTATTTTAAAAATAGAGATAGGTGCTCAATACGTTTGTATGGGTTAATTACACATGAAACCTGGGCCAAGGAAAGACACGCCTACCTGTCGGAATCTTGCAGCAAACCCACTGCTTCTCTGAGCTGTTCAATCATTGCAATGTCCATGTCCTGCGTTGTGGATGAACTTACTCTGCAACATGAAAGGAAACATAAGGATGAAAATGGTCAAGAAAACATGAATTATTATCTAGGTTCCTAAAAATAAACTTTCAAAATTCCATTTAACATATGAAAATGAATAAACTTTCAAAAATCCATTTAACACATGAAAAATGATTTGGGCAAATGTAACATTTTAACCAAGAGGTGTCATACCTTGCAGAAGGTGGTGGGAAGACTTTAGGGGGAGGTGTGCAGCTCTGCCTTAAAGCAGCTCATGCTAAGTTGCTACCTGTGGTCTTCCACCTGCTCCTCCATACAAACAAGGCCAATGGTTCTCATACTGCCCTTTCCTAAGCACAGTACCTAAAAGCACTTGACTGCTAACCAGAAGGCTGGTGGTTCAAACCCACCAGCCACATTCCTCAGAAGGAAAACTGGGCAACTACTTCCATAGAGATACTGCCTCAGAAACCCAAGCAGTGGTCGCTACGAGTCCAGTTGACCTGACGGCAGCGAGTTTGGTTTTTTGTTTTTGAGGGGCTCCAAGGAGTAGACCTACCTTCCAGTTCAACCAGTGTGGTCCAGTTCAATATTCCCAAGTAGACCTGGACTGGGGCTTGAGCATTTGTATTGTTTTTACAAAGTTCTACAGATGATACTGATTTACAGCTAGGGTTGAGGACAACACAATAAGATTGAAAACAGAGTTCCAAAGCTTTTATACAGTTTACAAATATCAATCTAATTGTCTATATTTCTACGACTCTGTAATCAAGCTAGGCCTTCTTGGCCTCATGAAAATATATCCAATGAATCACTGATAATACTGGTCGCTGATCTGAAAGTAACCCTGGAATGTATTTATTTAAAGGGCAAGAGCTATTTGATCATGTTTACTGCTTTCCACCAAGGCATTGACGGTTCAGTGGTACAACTGTTGCCTTCCATCAGGGAGACCCAGGTTCAGTCACTATTCCGTCTATCAGTGGAGGCCGGTGTGTTGCCATGATGGTGAAAGGTTTCAATGGAGCTTCCAGACTAAGATGGGCGAGGAAGAAAGGCCTGGCAAGCTACTTTGAAAAATCAGCCAATAGAAACCATGTGGATCACAATGGTCCAGACCACAACCAATCATGAAGATGGCACAGGAGTGGGCAGCATTTTATTGGGCTCTGCCTGGTGGTCGCCACGAGTCAAGGGCTAACTTAATGGTAGCTAACGACGACAACAACAACCCCTTTCCAGTACAAAATGTAAAGCACTGTCTTTCTGTAATTGGAGAAACTTTAAACAACATGGGAAATCTTCACTGGGGAAGAAATCCTGCAAAGCACAACAGAAGGTCCAAACCTACCTCCTAGATTATGGGGAATAAAATCTTAGGAACCAAAAACACTCTTCACTACATAGTCCAAATTAAATTCTCCTGGAAATGGTTCATTGGGAGATCATACATATCCTGTCCTGCAAATCCTGTTTTTTTTTTTTTTTAATACAATTTTTGTAAAAATGTTTATTACAACAACATAATTTCCAATCTTGTTGAAATAAAAGCAGAAAAATTTTATGAAATGTATAAACTGAGTATGTACATAAATGATTATTAATTATGTGTACCTTATTTTATTATTCATTTAAGCATTGCCATTAATAGAACATTAGGCATATACAATAATGATTAAATTCAGTCATTTTGATATTTTATTTTTAGCTATATGAAAATCATAGCTTTATAATTATTCTTCAAATCTGTCATTATGAAAGTACATTCATTTCTCAAGGTCATAAGACAAAACATTTTTCTTCAAGTTTGTTAACCTGATTAATATATTTTAAATACTTGGATATACATTAGGTGGACCTCCATTTATGCTCTTGTCCTATGTTCCACTAATGTTAGGAGCTAGCCTGAGCATCTCGACCAACTGCAGCATGTTTTACAGACATCTTGTTGTTGTTGGGTACTGTTGGGTCAATTTTCAATTCATAGCACCCCAATGTGATAGAGGAGAACTGTCCCTTATGGCTTCTTAGGCTGTCATCTTTACAGGAGCAGATTCCTGGGTCTTTCTCCCATGGATCAGCTAGATGGCTTTGAACCACCAACCTTTTGGTTAGTAGCTGAGTTGCTACTTCCCTTCTTTGGAGAGGCTGTGAAGCATAACATCTCTTGTAAATCTTGCCAAGTAAAATTCTATGAGCAGTAGAATATAAAGGATATCAGTTTGGCATGAGAGTTCTTAGGCTGAAATCTTGGCCTTGCCAGTCTGTGATCATGGGGCTAGATAATCAATCTCTCCACGCCTCATTTTTGTCATCTGTGAAATGGGCGATAATAATAGAACTTATCTCACAGAATTAGCATGAAGATGAAATGAGTTACCACCTGTGAAGTGTTTACAACAGGGCCTGACATGTGATATTTAATAAAGGCATCTGACTGCTAACCAGAAAGTTGGTGGTTCAAACCCACCAGCCACTCTGTGGAAGCAAGATTGGGTAACCTAATTTCATAAAGATTTACCACCTCAGAAACCCAATGGGGGTCACTGTGAGTCAGAAATGACTTGACGGCAGTGGGTTATTTTTTTTCTTCTTTTTTTGCATTATCACAATCATCAGAATTGAGATCAAGGTATTAACCATATATAGTTTTCTCAGTCCTCTAACTATGACACTTTGGGTAAAGAAAGGGAGCCCATTCCATAGACTGTCTCAGGTCCAGTTTTAGGAAGGAATCTAGAATCTCCAGTCTAGAAATTCCATCTAATTCTCTGCTCCCAGCCTCAAGTTAGATAACTTGAAAGGCCAAGGAAGAGGCTAAGACCTTATACCACATTGCCCAATACTATGACAATAAGCATCAGATATATAAACACTTGCAACTTCTTATCAATATTGTTGGGTAAGTATAGTAGCTTGCCAAAAGATAAGCAGATCAAAATTTGACCAAGACAGTGAATTTCATAGGGCTGGTGGCTTGTGGGTAGGCGCCAGTACTCACAGTCCCTCTGGTGGCCAGTGTGCATCCTCTTCTATCCGTAACAGTTCCTCACAGTCTTCTGCCCGACCCTGTGGACAGAAACACATAGGTGTGCTGAGAACCATGGCTATTCAGCAGTCAGAATCCGGACCATGTCACTTGTTAGCTTAGAGTCAGAAATTTAAAGTTCACCTCAATTCCTTTTCACCCTAATCTTAACTCATCCTGATGTTTACAGATCCTTTCAAGGGCTTTTCTGTCACATGTGAATGTGTACCCCAGTTTTCTGACAGGAGGTGTGTATGTTTTGAGGATAAGTCTGTGTTTGTGTGTACAGGAAGGGTGTTTATGTGTGTTGAAGGGAGCATGTGTGTGAGAGATGGGAGAGGTATGTGTGACCCAAGAGATATGTACATACATTGAGGAGACGTGGGTGTGGGTATGGGTGCATGTGAGGACAGGCATGTGTGTATACTGAGGAAGGGCATGCGTGTGATGAGAGGTGTGTGTTTGTGTGTGTATGTGGGAAGAAAGGTATGTGTATTCAGAAGGGGTAGGTGTGGGCATGAGCATGTATTAGGATAGGTGTGTATGTATTGAGAATAACAGTGACTATATGAGAGGAGAAGTGTGTGTATTAAGGAGGGGTGAGTGTGTTTCAGAATAAGTTTGGGTGTATTTTGGAAAGGTGTGTGTGTGAGGAGAGGTGTATGTGTATTGAGGAAGGGTATATGTATGTGAGGAGACATGTCTGACTGGGTGCTGAGGAGGGGTGTGTGTGTGTGTGTGTGTGTGTGTGTATGAGAAGACGTGTGTTTACTGAGGAGGGAGTTGTATATTTAGGAGGCATGTGGTTGTGGTGTATGTGCATATTGAGGAGGGGTAGATATGTGTGTACTCAAGCGAGATGTATACTGAGGAAGCATGTGTGTGTGTGTGTGTGTGTGTGTATTTTGGAAGACGTGTGTGTCCATACTGAGGAAGTATGTATATACTGACAAGAGGTGTGTCTGTGTGTTTAGATAAGGAGAATTGTAAGTTTACTGAAAAGGGGGTTGTATATTTAGGAGGCATGTTGATGCCTGCATGAGGAGAGGTGTGTGTCTGTAGATATCGAGGAGATGTGTATGTATCTGTATTTAGGAGGGGTATGTGTCTATATTGACGAAGTGTATTGTATTGACAAGGGATGTGTATCTGTCTCTACAGGTACTTAGGAAGTGTATGCATGTATGTGTATATATTATGAGCAGTAGAATATAAAGGATATCAGTTTGGCATGAGAGTATATGTGTGTACGGGAGCTCTGGTAGCACAGTGCCTAAGGCACTCGACTGTTAACCAGAAGGTTGGCGTTTCAAACCCACTAGCCACTCCTTGGAAGGAAGATGGGGCAATCTACTTCCATAGTGATACTGCCTCAGAAACCCAAGGAGGGGTCGCTATGAGTTGGGTCCAACTCAACGGCACATGACAACAACAACATATATGTGTACTGACAAGGGGTGTGTGTGTATATCGAGAAGGGTATATTTGTGTGTTGGTGGGGAAAAAAGGAAGTATAAAACATTTTACAACAGAAACATGCCTCAAATTACATCTAATAGTTTTCATGTGTACAATATCCAGAAGTCACTGAAATGTTCTCCTCCTTTTATTCTCCCCAAAGAGACAATGTGGTCGGAGGGTATATTTAGAAAGGTGTGTCCCACAACTGGCCTTCCACTTTCTGTTCACTTTCATCCCTTACACAGAGAAATGCTGCTTTAACTCAACTGACAGAACGGAAGCCACTCCTGACTGGGGGCACACTTCCCTGGCAAGGAAGGAACAACAGACAAAAGGACTGTATTCGGTGTCAAGGTTCTGGCACACCATCAGCCAAACTGAGGAGCAGCCAATTCTCCCGAGGTGTCACTGTGGACAAGCTCTTTCCTGGGGAGGTGGCTAGTTGCCCAACACTGGTCTCTGACTAGAAAAACACTCAGACTTTTTCTGTACTGATGAAACTACTGGTATTGGGTAAAAATGACACATAAATTACTGTCTCTATCAGAATGATGCACTGTAAATTCACAGGTGAACACATATGACCAGAAATGACCAAGAAGACATGCTCTTATGTCTTGATGGTTTTACTACAGTGGCTGTAGGTATTTAATTCTAATTTTCAGTTTCACAGTCTCAAGTAGGAAATAGCATAAAACATCTATTTTTTCAATACGCTTGGGGCTTACTGGCTCCCCCCCCCCCGAAGCTTAGATGGTTATAGCTGCAAGAATATAAAACTTCAGTAGAGATGAGAACACATAGAATGACCAGTGGTCAAGGCATCGGGCATGCCTTCTGGCCCTCAAGCACATGCTCACAGACTTTTAAAATGATGGAAGTCATTGTATTGACACTCCATGTACAGTTTTTCCTTTAGCTCACTGTAGATTCAGGTTTTATTATTACTATTGTCCTCCTAAGGAGCTCTGGTGGTGTAGTGCCTAAGGCATTTGACTGCTAACCAGAAGGCTGGCAGTTCAAACCCACCAGCCACTCCTTGGAAGGAAGGTTGGACAATCTACTTGTATAGAGGTAACTCAAGGAGGGGTAGTTATGAGTCGAATCAACTCGAAAGCAGTGATTTTTTTTTTAATTGTCCTTCTGCCTTTCTAAGAAAAATGTTTTGCAAGAGAGGTGTCCAGAACATTAACCCCATTGATTTCCACCCCCTTGTTTGCTCCTCTCATTTCTGCCCAAGGGATCCATTGCACAGAGGAGTCGTTTCCACAGTCCTTTGTATCTTGAAATCTCTGAATCCAGGAAATTTGCTTTCCTAAAACACTATTCTTTATTTCACTCACGAGTTTGTTTTTTCCTTTACAACTTGCATTTCAGCATTTTATGAACACATTTTTCAGCTTCCATCGTACCTCTGATTATCAACTTAAGTTGAAATCTTCGTCAAATAAGAGAATACCCCAATTGTCCACATTTTCGTGATAGTCTTACTGTCCCCCGCAGAGTTGATGGACAGAGGGCAAATCTGGGAGAACCCTGAGAGAGCCACTGGCCTGAGAGTAATGTGACTGCATTTGTACTTTAGGAAACTCTGTGGCAGAATACAGAGTGAGTGAGTGAGTAAGTGTGTGACTGTGTGTGTTGTCAGTGGGGGAGTGGGGTAGGGTGGCAGTTTTGGGTAAGAATGGGAGCAGCCTCAAAGTGAGAAATGTTGAGGCTCAAAGTAGGTGATGGCAATGGAGATAGAAGCAGAAAGCAAGCAATGGGTGTGAGATATTTTGAAACTAGAACAGATGGTTTGATGATGGATTAAATGTCCAGAGTGTTAAGGCTTTCTTTGTTTTATCTTGTATGTAACTTCTGTGTTATGGGTTAAACTGTACCCTTGTAAAATATGTATTGGAATCCTAACCTTTATTACCTGTGAATATAATCTACTATAATGAAATGTAATCACCTTCCATAATGCAATCTAATGTTATGTCACTGAGGTCAGGCCAGTGTAGGGTGAGTCCTGAAGCTACTCATTTCTGTGTTATCAAAAAAGTGCCTTAGACACAGAGGCACACACATACTCGGGAAAACAGATGCCATGCAAGGCTCTCCAAGGAAACAAAGAACGCCCGAGTTACTGGCAAGGAAGAATCAACATGGCTGAGATTCTGGTTTGGACTTTTAGCCTCCAGAACTATAAGAAGATAAATTTCTGTTCTTTAAAGCCACCGACTTGGGCTACTTGTATTATTACAGCAGCATGAGGCAACTAAGACATTATAAATGACTTTTAATGGTTTTCTAGAAACTTATATCAAGTTTATTACTTTTGTCTTGAGGTGGTAATGATCTGCTGAGCACAGGTAGCATCTGGCTACAGATGCACCAGGATCTTTTGCAGGGTCAAATTTAGCTGCTTTCTGCTGTATGGAAAATGAATTTCTCTGTAAACTTTCACCTAAATCACAACATTTTTTTTTTTAATCGTCTATATAAGACCAAGCAGTCAACAATTTCTCTAAAGCAAAGATGAGAACATCATGGGGGGTAGGGAAACAAGATTAATGGAAATGGAACAACTAGAACAGAAATGAGAAT